AGAGAGAGAGAGAGAGAGAGAGACAGTACGCAACATGTAAAGGGATTGCGGAGAAATTAGAGAGTCACTGATGGAGAAGAGGATGAAATTAAATTGAGCAAGGGTGAGAGAGACGGCGAGAAAGACGACGACCAGTGTGTGTGTGTGTGTGTGTGTGTGTGTGTGAGACAGAGAGAGAGAGAGAGAGAGAGACAGTACGCAACATGTAAAGGGATTGCGGAGAAATTAGAGAGTCACTGATGGAGAAGAGGATGAAATTAAATTGAGCAAGGGTGAGAGAGACGGCGAGAAAGACGACGACCAGTGTGTGTGTGTGTGTGTGTGTGTGTGTGTGAGACAGAGAGAGAGAGAGAGAGAGAGAGAGAGTGTGACTGGTTGGCTCGCTTTGTGCATGCGACGGAGTAAGCAGGGGATAATTGAACGTATGCTTTCTCTCTATTTGCATCGCGCTAACGCGGAACCATAGCGCTACATAACTCGGTTGCTCAACCCGACCTTACGACGGAAATAGCTTGTCCGTCATCTAGGACATGGCCTACGACATCTTGGACGACATCACCAAGGACGACTCGTTCAAAGCGGCCACATGAAATCCTTCGAACAGAGCTCGTACGCGGCCGGGTGGACAGCTAGATTTTCCCCAGAGACATTCTCTAGCGATTGACTCGCGATTGTCTGGCGATTGTCTGGCGATTGTCCCCTGAAATTTTCGAGTGCTTGGTTATCCGACGAAGCCGCAAAAATCCTGCGGAACGTATGTCGAGTTACGCGTTGCTTATAACTAAATGGGCATAGGCTAAAGGGAACAGACGTTGCCTCGGGGTGGCGTGAGGTTGAGTTTGAATTTAACGGAGATAGGAGGGGAGTAGGGGGTCGCAGGCGATCCTCCACGCAATCGTCCTTATTCGTGACAAATTGAGATAAATAATCGTTTTGCGCGACACAATAGCCTCTCGAGATTTTCGTTACGCCGCTACTCGAGTAAGACACGCGCTGAGCGTCGCCGATTCCTCCCGATTCGTTTCACCGCCGCCTTTTCTCCGTTTCTGAAAGCCTCGAACCTCCCACCACTCCCCTCCCCACTCTCTCAGAACCGTGAGAAAAAGCATTTTCTAATTATTATTATACTGCCATCTAACTTGACAATTCTAATCAGTAATGAAAGCTTCGTGTTCCCTGCTATTTCCATTCGTTATCACTGATAATCTCTCGTGATTGCTTTCATCACCAGTGTTTTGCCTTAATATGTTCAAATTGCTTATCAAGGCATTATAGTACCTAAGTTGTTCCTATAAATAATCGTTTGAATCTTTGAAGATACTTGAAGCTTTATAAATTCGTTGGTTATTCGTTCATTGTTTCTATAAATCATTGTTTTTATTTCATATTTGAAATTTTATTATGCTATTGTATTATTATTAATTTTAGTAAATTGGTGTATAATATGTAAAAACCATGTTTTATTATTATCTTTATTATCTTTTTGTTATTATCGGGCAATATTAATTCTAATATTTTTACTACTTTTTAATTTATTGTCTCTGTCAAATTTATCGTCGTTTTTATGCTTATAATGATAGTTTATTATTTATTGCTATTGAACTTGTTAATATTAATATTTTCAATTTTCAAATTTTTTAATTTTGAGGTTACATTTCACTTTCTACAAAAGTTAATATAATTGGCGATGTTAACTGTATTTAATACTTAATATTATTATTTACTCCGAAATAATAATCATATTTCATTTTTAATTTTTATATATGTATTTCGCATTTTTATTGTTTATGCTTATACATTATATTAAATAAATATTTATTTAATGTTTTAGTGTAATGAAATTAATTATTACTTAATATTAATAGGAGTAATATGAATGATTAACAGAATGATTAATTATTATAAATGCATTTTCTATTAGTTTAATACATTAGATTTGGTAGATATCATTAGAGTTAGAAATCCCTAAAGTTTATCATAGGATTCGTTTAATTTGTAATTTTAAATAGTATTTAATTTTTATTTTCTTTATTTATTTTACTTTAGTATAGTATGAATGCGTATATTTTCATATTTATTTATTATTAACATACCGAAATGGAGAAGTACTAATTCTATCATTGATATACAAATAGAATGTTAATTAGCACGTGATATAAATAATCATAATTTATTTCTAATGATTAATTATTTTTCGAGATTTTTTACTAATATAGCAGTCAGTCATTGATAAAGATAAAAATATCGTTTAAACACAGTATCTCAGGCACAAATATTTATTAGAAATTATGTTTTATTATAATTGACTATATATATAATTTATATAATCGATTATCAGTACATTAAATATAAATCATTTATGAGTATTCTTGATAATTTAAACTACTCAGCTTTTGTCTATTTGTCTAATAATTGATAAGAATAGATTGAATGTTAAGTCCTCTTTTGAAATAAATTATAAATATAATTATTAAGTTCAATAAATCGATTGCCAATTATTCTTTTGTGCAAATTGAGAGTCGTTCGGACGGTTATGATTTATTTAAGAGTAAAACAGTCTGACAGTACATTTAATCTAACTGCAACAGCGTCTATGATGGATACATTCATACATTTTTCATCCTATATCTCTATATATCGAGCCGTGTTTGTATTTTTAAATATCAGAATATTTTTGTTATAATCAGAATTCTTAATATTTATTATAATGTTAATAATCTTAGTATTTAGCTCGCATGTACCGCTGACATTGAATATGCGTGGACTAATTTAATCCACAATGTATAATTAACCGAGCAATTATGTATAATTCATGAAGCGTCCGTGCCATAGGGATACGCGAAATAATTACAGATCAGTTCGAGGTTCTCAAATTCATTGAATTGACAGTTCTATGTCTTTGTTGTGAAATACAAGATTTAAATTCTTTATTTTTTTTTTAATTCTTACTATCATAGTGTCTTATAAAGAAATATAAGTTTTTCTGGATGTAATAGTTTGATAGTATATTAATGGTAATTATAGCGATAAATGCAATAAAAATAAGTCCCATTGTTATCTATATACCAATAAATATATTTAAAAATTAATCATAGAATAAATAATAACTGATTGAATAAAAAAGTATTACTTATATGTATATATATATATATATATATATATATATATATACATTCTATTATATGTTTTACGTACAAGTAAGTATAAATAAGGTATAATTGTACTATATTACGAGTTAAATTTGGCAATATAATAATAAAATTGAATAATAAGAACAAAACTAAAATTACTACTATTAATTGCCATGTTATCCACTAGTAAATTATTATTATCATATTTTGTTGAAATAAGACAAGATTTTTCTGCAATAGAATGTTGATATTTATATTTAAAAAACATT